TTGTATTTTTATGAGAAGCTGTTTTTCATGGCAGAAATACACTCGGCGGTTTGCCATTGCCTTCCGAGGGACGACCGCTGTTAAGAAAAAAATTTTTTCTATATTTTTTGTGATGTTGCTTCGACCAGGCTTGAACCCAGGTGCTGAGGAGGGAAAGCGCGCACTGCTTACCACTACACCACAGCGGCCGACGCGGGGTATATAAATGTTAAATATTTCAAGCTCAACATCGTCAAACTGGAAGGCTATGCCCTGACATTCTGGGGTGGGGCCCCGGGTCTATACCTTCTTCGATGACACGATATTGCACAGTGTAATATAGGATTACCGCTAGACCTCCACCATTGTCTTCCTCGTGATCTCTGCGGAGGATGTTGTAGCCGTCAGAACGCAACAGAGTGAAGTAACTTTACAACTGCGTTTCCTGGATCGCATCTTTCAGTATGCCATACCGACCCATAGAGACGGTTATCTCTTCGATCTTGCTATGAAGTCCATTGCAGACTGAAGCCAAGTTTCGGCATTTCGTGTTTTGACACACGTGTGACTGTGTGATTAGCAAAGAGGTGCTAGTTAACCCTCACACGGGAATTGTGGTCCACTCCCTGTGTGATCTAAGGCCTGAGCAGTTTTCTATACGAGAGCCACCGTTTACAGGTGTTGCACCTAACCGAAGTGGAGTTCGAATGAAGGCGTCACTGGCAAACTCAGAAGAAATAGGTTTCTGGGCCAGAGTTGGTCCCAATTCTCGGCCGAAGAAGAAGGATGCGCAGCAATCCAGCTGCAAGGTGTTTTACTATCAACGAAAAACAGGGTTAGGTCGCCGAAACTATAGTTTTTGGTCAGGAAAACCCTGAATAATTCCCATATGAAGAACCGGCTTTCGTGGGTATTGAGTGCCACCGTAACCTTCATCCCTTTCACCACCTTCACCACTGCTCATCCATTCTTCTGGTGGTTCGATGAATATCCTAAGCAGTGTTGCCGNCTGAGGAGTGAAAGCGCGCACTGCTTACCACTACACCACAGCGGCCGACGCGGGGTATATAAATGTTAAATATTTCAAGCTCAACATCGTCAAACTGGAAGGCTATGCCCTGACATTCTGGGGTGGGGCCCCGGGTCTATACCTTCTTCGATGACACGATATTGCACAGTGTAATATAGGATTACCGCTAGACCTCCACCATTGTCTTCCTCGTGATCTCTGCGGAGGATGTTGTAGCCGTCAGAACGCAACAGAGTGAAGTAACTTTACAACTGCGTTTCCTGGATCGCATCTTTCAGTATGCCATACCGACCCATAGAGACGGTTATCTCTTCGATCTTGCTATGAAGTCCATTGCAGACTGAAGCCAAGTTTCGGCATTTCGTGTTTTGACACACGTGTGACTGTGTGATTAGCAAAGAGGTGCTAGTTAACCCTCACACGGGAATTGTGGTCCACTCCCTGTGTGATCTAAGGCCTGAGCAGTTTTCTATACGAGAGCCACCGTTTACAGGTGTTGCACCTAACCGAAGTGGAGTTCGAATGAAGGCGTCACTGGCAAACTCAGAAGAAATAGGTTTCTGGGCCAGAGTTGGTCCCAATTCTCGGCCGGAGAAGAAGGATGCGCAGCAATCCAGCTGCAAGGTGTTTTACTATCAACGAAAAACAGGGTTAGGTCGCCGAAACTATAGTTTTTGGTCAGGAAAACCCTGAATAATTCCGATATGAAGAACCGGCTTTCGTGGGTATTGAGTGCCACCGTAACCTTCATCCCTTTCACCACCTTCATCACTGCTCATCCATTCTTCTGGTGGTTCGATGAATATCCTAAGCAGTGTTGCCGCGGCGCATTTTTAGTGGTAGCCAAATTCCTTTAAAAAAAGGGCTAAAAAGGAGCTAAAAGAAGGGGGGTGTAGGAAAGATTCTAAGTTTACAGTTTCTGTACATATATTAATTGTGGGTTAGACTTTTATATAAAATCAATCAAAAAATTATCAATGAAAAGAATAGGCGAAACTGGTCAAAATGTCTCACTGCCATTACTTCGCATATAGGTACATACATATGTGTGTAAAAATGTGAGAATAGCTATATTTCTCAGAGTATTTCCCCTCCGTAATTAGAATTCTGTGTAATTTTACTATGAATTTATGTACATATATGTATGTCTAATAGTAGCCCACGATGCTAAATCGGGATTTACTCGAGCAGCATTTTGACCTATTGGATTTTGTAGGTTATGTGATGGGAAACAAAAAAGGTCATGTGAAGTTTTTCCTTACAGCGGTGGGTGGAGGAACTACAGGCTTCCAAAAATGTAAAAAAAAAAACAGTTACATGGATTTACTCGAGAGCGTCAGGTATTGATAGTGAATGAATCAAACGGTTTTCTGATGACGGTTGCATGGTGGGGGTGGGCGTACGGAAGGGTCAAAAATGGGTGACAAAAAAATTTACTCGAGCGCGTCAGATATTCATAAGTGATGTTGAATGCGCCCGAATGTACCTCCCATTCAATAATCTGATGATTCAGATGTGACGCAAGCTCGTGGCGTCTTCTTGAAGATGCAAAAAAAAATCGCCATTTGGATTTACTCGAGCGCGTCAGATTTTCATACAGAAGGTTCATCTCGATGTCCTGGTCGTGCTGTTCCATAATATGGCGATTATCTGGAGGGGTTTTCTTAATCTGACGGTTAAAAATAATAATTTCGTAACAAAACATATTAAGAAAACATAATATAACTGTAAATACTTATTATTTTATCCGTGCAACTATTGTTGACTTTTTT